ATGCATAATTGTAGATTAAAAATCGTTCATCCTTCCTTTTCTTCCGTTTTGATATTCTTCATGTGTTTCCTAATTCAATACAGTTTTTTCTTTAGTTTTTTATAGTTTGGTTTAGAAGTGTGACATCTAATTATGTTTTGGTTCTTATTTCGTTTGTTAGGGCTTATTTCGGGGTTCGGGGCAGCTGCATTTTAATTTACTAGTTTCCGTACTAGAACAATCCTTATCGACAGAACTCTAGAGACTCAGTAGGTTTAATAATTAATTATAGTCCTATATTTGATTCGATTGGTAATGAAATAACAAAACTGGAGGTTTTTGTGAATTATCTATACAAATAAATAAAATTGAAGTATTTGTTAATTTCAAAATAATAGTTTTGTACTAAATGCATATGAAAGTATATACGGTACTTATAACAAAAAACAATTTTTAAAATTTTGCTTGTTTATCTGTTTGTTCCGGCTAATCTCCGAAGTACCTGTATCGATTTTGGAGGGACTTTCACTGGCAGATAGCTGTTTTTGTAAGGAGTAACATAGGTTTCTTTTATTTTAGAAACAGAATAAGGTTTCCGCGTAAAAAATTCAAAACCCATTAAACAAGTTTCAATGGTCAATCGGGCTAGGCTTTTTGAGATTTCACAAAATATCTCGGGTCCGACTTGTGTACTCCTTGAACCCTCCCGTGCAAGCTTGTGTGGATATTGTCGTCAATTTCATTGGCAACACGTTGTTACAGCCCTGCTTAGATGATTCACGCAGTCTCCAACTAACTTTGAAGTCACTAAGTTTGATCTCAGCACTAGCAGTGCTGCTTGACTATCAGAGTTTATATAAATAATTTGGTTGACGCAGTGTTTTTGCAGGTTGACTTCCGCACAACGAAGTATGTCGAAAATTGCTACCTGGAAAATAGAAGAATCCCCATAAATTCCAAAGTCTACGTCGAGGTCCATATAAGGCTACCAGTCTCACAGATGACCTGTCTATTCAGTTTTCTCTGGAGGGTAGTTATACTATGTATATTTTATTAAAAGTGTATAATAGACGCATGATATCTAAGAGCATGCATAAAGTCGGTGCTTCCTTCGTTGAGTCGAGCAGGGATCTCAGAAGCGTTAATCCTATACAAACTAGCCCTCGCCTCCTTGTCTACATAAAGATAAAGGGGCGTTAGGTATAGAAGTGCATTAAGAGCCGCTTCAGGCGATGATCGCATCGCTCCAGATGCCATTAAACAGGCAGTCCTTCGTAGACTATTTGGCTTGTCCGCAGGCATCTTTTGGTTGACCTTATTGGCATAACAATGGAGACGAAGGTCATAATCGGCCTTACTATGCTGCTATAAGTAAAGTCATAAGATCATACTGGGACGCAAGCTCCAGTTGTTCCCAACCATACGACTACCTAAAGCAATTATTAACTCACTAGTAGGGAAAAATTTGGCATTCAAATATATCTATTGTAAAAGCTTATTTTTTGGTATATCGCACTAGTTTTTGTTTTACGTCAATACATGCAGTAATAGCGAAGTTATTACTACGAGAAGTTCGGACCGGTTTTTCAAATTACCGAATTACGCGCGCTCGTGGTGTGACGTCAACCCACGTGTCTCTAACTGCTCAGCCATGAATTCACCTACATACGCAACAGTCTAACACGCTTGTTTGTCCGCAATTTTTGAAGTTATACTTCTTTTGGGGCGTTTGGGAAAAATGATGTGATTTTTTTTTCTATTTAATGTAAAAATTTTGTAAGAGTGCTAATGGAGTGATAAGGGAGTTAATTTTAAAAATTTTACATGGAAGTCTGCTATTAATAAGGTCAACCTGACAAATCATCTAAATTGAATGATTTTATGATAGCTCAATATTTCTTGAAAAATAGTGACTACGGCAGCAAGGTAAGCATTAACTTATCTATGAAGATTTCTTATCTTTTACGTTTTTCTACAACGAACCGTACAGTTTTTCATTTTACTGCTTTTGATAAGCAAACTTATGAGGCACTACGCCTTTCTTAAGTTTCAGCAGTACTCGTTTATACTTGACGTGGACATACCGGCTCGGTGGCGTACAATGAGTTGCAGCGTTAAGGGCCGCGGGCTCGAATCCCGCACGGAACAAGCATTTAGATCGATTCGATAGGATGTTTGTCCCTGTAAAATTTATGTAATATGTATGCAAACTGCCCCCACGCTACAGGAGAAAATCCTAGTGTAGAGGCAACGTTTTTTTTTTTTTCAAAGAAAAAAAGAAAAGAAATTTTCAAGTTTTTGTGCATGGGAGATTTCAGAGAATGCTTTCGGTATATTTTGTGAAATTTCCAAGGCCTTCGACTGTGTTCACCATGAGACATCAATCAGGAAGCTATCTTATAGGAAGATAAATAGAACTTATTATTTCATATTTATTAGCACGCATAAAGTTAGAATGGCCTAAAGTTTTCTTTAACTACCGATGAATAGACATCTAACCGCAATCGCCGCTACACGCATGAACGTAAATGTGCATTCACCTGACTGAAACAATGAGCATCACATTAGCTTGGAACTTGCACGATTGGAGGGATCACCCACTTCAATAAAGTGCGCTTATATTTTGAGTTCGAATCGAACTTGTGCAATACAAGTTCGATTTGTTTCTCGAAGATGATATTGCAGGCCTTTCTACTGACGGGGCTGCCGTAATGGTGAAGATGGAAAAATGTCTAACCGTATATCATCAACTGTGTTATGCGCATGGCATACAATTGTTTGTATGTATTGTGTGTATATGTGTGTATTGTAACAACGTACGATGCTGTAAGAGAATAGAGTAATGATGCTGAGAATAATGATGCCCCACACTGAAGCCATTGTTGTCGAATACCTTCGATACGTTGAAATCAATGCAATGGGGTGGCCAGTGAGCACACCCGACTTCAACCCCATAGAGGATGTGTATGGGATAAGCTTGGAGGACAAAGAAATCCTGCCCCCGCTAATTTGATAGATCTTAAAAACGCACTACACTACAGTAAGAATGGAATGCATTCTCTCAAGATTTTATTGATTGATTTTCATATATAGACTAGATATTCCCCGCGACTTCGCCCGCGAGGAATTTATTGCGCGGAACCTTAATACTTTTCCTAAAATGAAAGTAGCCTAAGTTACTCCTTATAACATCAGCTATCTGCCAGTGAAAGTACCATCGAAATCGGTTCACAGGTTTTTGCGTGATGCGTGTTCACTGTTCAGACAGGCGTCGTGTTAGTTTTATTATAAATAGAAGATTATATTTTATTAATAAGCGACAGAGGAAAACTGAAACAGGATGTGGGCAGCAGCATCTTACCGTTAAGAGTCCAAATGTTCAAAAAACGCGCTCCAACCCGCTTGCCAAGCTTGCCAACTATGGCAAGCTTTATATGAAATATCCCCCTAACAAAGCAATCTTAAGCGATGGCTATGTTAAGCAGTAGATTGATATATAGGAAATGTAAAAACTATATAGGTACATAAGAACGTCGGACTGTCGAATCACTTTAATTAAGTCTTAAAATTATGTTAAAAACATCTGTCAATACAAACTTCCAAGCCATCTAACCTGACCGAATAACGCAACGGTTAAGGCTATAGGCGTAACATTCGCCGTGGCGTCCTTGCCCGGCAGTTTCACTGGCTGCAACCATATAAAATGCTCTCAAAAACCGTTGTTCAATCAGTACAGTCCCAATATCCAAACCTTTAACTTGGGTTGGTTTTCAAAGATAAATTACTAAAATGAGGACGCTGGTCGCCCTTGCCCTTTTGGGATGTCTTTTCGTCGTTTCTTCCAGCCGCGAAATTGGCCAGAAAGAAAGCGACTTAATAACGGCAGCGAGTCACCACAAGAGCCATCACCATGAAGAAGGTGGTGGAAAAGAGTACCACGCTGACCATCACCATGAGCATGGTGAGAAAGGGCACAAGGGACACAAAGGACACCACCACCACCACAAAGGTGAACATGGCGAGCATCATAAACATCACGACGCAGGACATCATCATGAGCACGGCGGTGGACACAAGAAGCACTGGGATGAACACGATCACCACGGGAAACACCACGAGCATGGGCATCATCACAAGGGTGGCAAACACCATCACAAGAAGCACCACGACAAGGGGGAAGAAACCGAGGGCTACCATAAGAAATATCACAAGGACGAGTATCACAAAGATCACCACTTCTACGATGACCATCATAAAGAAGGCAAACACCATAAGCACGGTGATCATCACGGACATCATGAGAAACATGGAGGACATCACAAGAAAGGCGGCCACCATGATTCTGGACATCATGAACATCATCACGGCAAAAAGGGACACCATGATAAGCACCATTACGATGAGGATCACAAGGGACACAAAGGTCAACATGGGCACGAGGAACACCATCATCATCACCATGATCATGGGAAGAAAGGCGGCCATGAAGATCATAAACATTGGGGATTTCACCACGGCAAGCACTGATGTTATTAATTATAAGATATTCGTTGTTTTATTTTTGTTATGCTACAATCATCTCGTTATAGATAAACAAATGTTAAATTTTTAATAAAAGATTTTACTAAGTATAATGCATAAATTATTTAATGAATATTCTAACATTAATTTAAATATAACAACCAACCAAGCGCATAAACGAACAAAGTCATTTGGAACTGTAAAATGATGTCGTCATCATGCCTGCGCGGAATCACTCATCCAGAAATCTGCAGCAATGCGATTGCCAAAGACTACGTTGTAATCCACCAGAGATGAAAGTATTGTTATCTATAAATTCAAAGTGCGGAAACATTTATACCACAGCTATCGTAACACTACTACAAATCGCGGCTCTTGGTAAGTGAAAACATTTTTATTTACTTCATTACTTGATTAAATAAAATCCACCTTTGAGTAAACCACAAATTTATTTATTGATACTGTTAAAATAATAACTAATATGTTATAATATCGTAGAAATGAGGGTGCTACTATGGATGGTGATGCTAACATGGACACTGGCATTATCAAACGCTAGAAATGTCCGCCTTCTCGATACTGAAGGGAGAGAAATCGAACAATTAGCGAATAATAATGCTGCAGCTTTTGACCAGACGCCTGCGGGAACCGTGAAGAAAGAAGCTAAAAGCAGTCATCACGAATCAGGCGGCGGTCACGAGCACCATGCACATCATCACAAAGAAAATGACGAAAAGGGAGATAAAGGTTATAAGTCGCATCATCATCATGACAAAGGTGAACACGGTCACAAAGAGAAGCATCACCATGAGGGTCATCACGATGAACACGGAGGACATAAGAAGAAACACCACGATGAGCACGATCACCATGGTGAACATCATGAAGCCGCACACGGTCATAAAGGTGGTAAATTTGGCCATAAGAAAGGGCACAAGAAAGGCTCCAAAACCACCGGCTACCATCACAAATCTCACAAAGACGAATACCACAAGGATCATAAGTTCTATGATGACTTCCATAAGGGTGGTCACCATCACAAGCATGGAGATTTCCATGGTCATCATGATAAGAAGGACGGGCACCACAAGAAAGGTGGACATCACGAAAAAGGCCATCACGAGAAACATCACGGTAAGAAAGGACATCACGACAAAGGACATTATGACGAGGATCACAAGGGTCACAAAGGGCATCATGGCCACGAAGAACATCATGCCCATCATCACGACTACGGTAAGAAGGGCGGTCACGCCGGCGGCAAAGAACATGGCTATAGTCACGGAAAGAAAGCATAATGATCTTATACTTACTACACTATACTTTATTGAAAAGCAGTTCCAATTTGCAGTACGGTTTGATATATAGGTTTTAAGAAGGGTTCCTCTTTTCGGTTGTTTTGATTCTGGTTCAAGATAAGATACAAGCTTCAAAATACCAAAATTTTTCAGGTTACAAGTCCAAAGGGGAAGCCTTCACAATTAAAAAAACTCATTTTATAACTGTCACGCAATGAAATAAAGCAAGTACTTAATGCTCTCGTTTACCTGTATAATAAAAGTAGCGAACACGATTCATTTAGGTATGGGTACTGGTTCTGGTTCTAATATCAGGACTGCTAAATACCAGTAAAATTTTCAATTCCTGCTTTTTATTTCGTTTTGAAACAAGTCATCGTTTTTATAAGTATTGTTGACTGACTTTATTGTTACATAATATATAAGATATTGTTGTCAATAAATAAATAACTATAAAGTATATAAGCAGTGTTGTTTCAAAACAATTAACCAAATGCGTGTTGTGGTGTCGGTGTTAGAGCATTAAAATGTGAACTTTATATCATGTAACGTAAATTACGTAAAATTGTTTTTTGTTGTTTATATATATATACATATATTTGTCTTATATACTATGCTTTATGCCAGGCGTAGGACAGTTGCCTTGAACCACAAACATTTAATGGATGGTGGCGCCATCCATAATTTGTTTCCAAAAATAATTTGTTTATAGTTGGTCTTATGGCTTCACAGATGTCGCTACTTTGGAAAAATAAAATGAAATTTACTTACAAAATAAAAATAAGTGCACCAAAAAATTATTGGTGATTTTATTGATAAAAAATTATCATTTTAACATAAAAACACGTAATAATTATCGAATCAATCGATAAATATGACAATTATGATACTGGCAACCAGCATTTTATAATAAAAAAAATGGAATAATTGTCATATTAAATTGTCATTCCTGTAACATTGCAAATACCCTTTTTATATATTATTATCTTACAAATACAAGTGTACTTATTGAAACTATTTACCTACTTTTAATATTAAAAGTATAAATTATTATTACAAAAAAAGTAGAAATTGTTTCAGTAAGTATGCGACTTAAAGAACATAATAGTTAAATTAATATGATGTACATAATATAGCTATATATAGCGAATTAGTTCGGATTCAATTTGTAGGAGACGCTAGTAGTTCAATTTTGTCTGCAATAAAATATCGTCAGAGGGCTCTCTTTTCCTGTATATACTTATTATACTCTTTGCTTTATGCCCTAAGAACGTCTACTAGTTATTTTCTCTAATATCTAAAGCATTTAGCCAGTGTTTATAGTTATTTTAAAAGAAAAAGGTTTTATGAGATTTATGGTTGCATTATTTAGTAAGGTTAGTTATGGGGAAACCTTAAAAAGGAGGCTTAATTCCCGTAATGTATATGGAACATGTAGGGGTTTGCAATATTTTTTTACTCAATCAGTGGGTGTAAGAGAAAAAGTGAGCTTTTTCCAAATGAAAACATAATCAACATGCGGTGATTCAAAGATGGATAATCCATTCTAAGAAATTCATAGCGTTGGGGATTGCAGTTGCATTGCTGCAAGAGTTTACTTCCTTCATAATTTTGTCAGAAACATGTCTTTTGTTCATAAATTTTTGTTTTTTTATTAATAATAAAATGTTAAGTTTCAAAACTTTAATACATTCTGTCACTGCAGCATTATAAAACTGATGATTAACATTTTAGAACATAAGATTAGATTTAGATTTAAATTTACAATGAAGAAATAAAACCAGTACTTAAAGTTTCTTTCCATGTATTAAAAAAATTCTACATAATGTTACAGTATAGTCATAAGAGGAGCAAGGTGATCAAATTCAATTTTTTCTGTAATATTTTTGGTTTTAATATTTTCATCTTGATTGGCGATGAAGATAAGGTTGCCATCATCCCTCCAGCCGTATTTTTTTACCCAGTGTTTCAATGTAACATCTAAAATACAAATTTTGGCATAAATACACCACTTCATTAACAAAACAAGTACAAAAGTAACATTTAAATGAACAATAATTACATACCATCAATTCCTCCCAACAGATTGGCTAAGTTATTCTTGTCAATAGTTTGGAAAGTGATTCCAACTACATGACACACAAACTTTCTAATAGAATCATGAAAGCTGCTAATGCGATTGCATAGTTCAGGCATTTGATGTACTCTATTCCAGAATTGAGCGAAATCACATTGCTCTAAAATGTCTGCTAAATACTTGATCTGCGATATGGTTTCATTTTCTGCCTGAAATCAAATTTTATTATTACATTTTTTGCCCAACAATTATTGTTACCAAATACCCTAAACAATAAAGCAAAGGAGTCCCAAGAATGGAAGCTTCAGCATAATATTTATGTATTTCATATTGGGTGTCCTAAAAATTTTTACACTGTCAATTGTAAGGCAGAGTCAATTCATCTTGACCGTAAGGAGCGTAATCTATACATATAATAAAACTGTAAATAGCAGATGTCTGTACATTTTATATTTTTGTAATAAAAGTGATTGAGGGGTACTAAAAATAAGTAATTAAATACATTTCTACCATTTTTAGAATTTTCTGTCTGTCTGTCTGTCTGTTTGTTTGTTAACGTATCACGTATAAAGTACTAATTTATATCATAAGAATTGTTAAGGAAATTATAAAGTGTATCTTCGGGTTACATTTAGTCTTTATTTCATTAAAATCAGTTCATTCCATCAAAAGTTATGATAAATATTCCGAAGTATGGGTAGGGAAGTATAGGTACGAATTTGCTCAACGGCAGCTTTGTTTGAGTCATCAAATGCATTTTATACTAATATCATATCATAAATCATAGTTAAATTATGTAAAATAATGATATAATTATGTATATATAAAACGCAGTAAACAAAAGTATTAAAGAACGTATTAAATATATTATACAAAAATATATTAACCTTATTAACTAAATCTGAAGCACAATAGTTAACCCATTTCTTCGATAGATGGTGGTGTTGTGAAAATGTAATGCAATTGCAATGTGGTTTTTTCCTGTAGATGAGTTTTCATATTTACTGCTAATCTTTATTATATTACTCGCTGCCCTACTGCGTGTTGACAAACTCAATTTATTCTTTACCGCCGAATAAGTACTCTATGTGGTAAATCGAATTTTAAAAGAGCTATTAACAATTGCGTTGGTTTTGGCGAGAGTCAAACTTTATTTTTTGCTTACTGTGCAGGCACTGATTTATAAGTTCTCTTGCGTTTTATATAATGTATCAATCGCGTCAATTAATCTCTTTTATTTTTAGAATTGATGTTAGCAGCGCCATCTCTCTTTAAATATATACATATAATAAAAATGATGATAACATGTTGTGTCTCTTTCTGTACATTGTATATATATTTTGGTGGCTAAAATCATTATGGGGAACTGAAAATAATTAAATAAGAACATTTTATAATTTTTAGAATTGTCTGTCTGTCTATTTGTCTGTTATCATATGAACGCATCACGTCTAAAGTAAACATCTTTTATTTTCAAAGAAATTGTTAAGAAAATCATAAAGTGTATCTTCGAGTTACATTTAATCTTTGTTTTATTAAAATTGGTTAATTCTATCGAAAGTAATGATTATAATTTTGAAATGTAGGTTCGTATTTGTTCAATGGCGCCATAAAATCTCAGATCTCAGAAATAGTAATAAAAAGATTTGTGTGTAAAAAAAACGTTCCATAATAATTAATATATTTATACTTAAAACACAAAAAGAGATTTAAAAAGGATGTTTTCTCACACAAAGGACGTAATAGATGGAGTTGTACAAATTACAAACTTTTCTGAATTGCTGTCTTGAGATTTTTCGCCGATGAATCGTATTGAGACTTACTGAAGAAATTTGTATCCATCGAAGCCATACAACGGAACCCGACCAAAAATAAAAATTTTGCAACGAAATGTCGTGATATTGTATTAATAATATACGCAAAATCAGTACTGCCATCTTAGCGCTTTGGGAACTAGATTTAGCGCTTTTTTGGAATGTATAGCGCGCATTTCGAAATTTTAGCACCTAGCGCTTAATCCAGCGCTTTTTGGTGTATTTAGCACACATTTCAATATTTTAGCGACTAGCGGGTTAATAACTCTTATAGCAGCACTGTTAGTCCACATTACCGATAATAATAATAATGACCTTTATTATTTTTTCCCACAAATAGTACATTGCAGTTTATCTTTTTCAAACATATTTTTTCCACAAAACAAAGAGCATGGGAGACGAGTCCAAACTAGGATACCCTGTGCTATGGATCTCCTGGCTTCCCTTTTAGGATGATCAACTTGATTTTTTTACCGACGACTATAAGCGGGGAAATCCCCTTTATTAAAGTTTTTGTTCATGGTTTTGGCAACGCATTTATTTTGCTTTATTCAGTTTCAGTCAGTTGCTTAGAGCACAGCTAAGTTAAAAGTTACTTAGAAGTTATAACACAAAGAAACTGTGTAGCAACCGCAATCAGATGCTGACATCTGAAACTAAGTTGCGAAATACATTGCACTTTAAAACAATTAATGACATTTTTATTGTTCGTACAGTACTAACTACTGTTGACAGCAATTGCCATAATTATAAGTCGATGTCCTGCGAAGTATTGATACATCAAAAAAATATTGCCAGAAAAAAAACTTAATGTTGTTTTCTTTATTATGATTATATAAAAAAACACAAACTTTGTTTGTAGTTAATTTAGCGCGAAATCTAGGGCTTTTTTAAAGCGCTGTTTTCATGAAATCTAGCGCTTTTTGTGTTGTCCTAGAGCTGAATGAGTTTTTTTTTTATCTGGCAGCACTGCCCAAAAACCCTCTATTAAGAAGTAACTTTCCTTTCAGTTTTAAGCGCGTTCAGTTCCCAGTTACAGTGAGCGTGTGTTATGCGATGACCGTAAATAAAGCGCAAGGTCAAACTTTACGCGTTGTAGGAGTGTACCTCAGTACTGACTGTTTTGCACATGGCCAACTCTATGTTGCTTTTTCCCGTGTTAGTAGCCCCCGTAACCTTTTTGTGTACACCCCGGCTAAGCCTACTTCTAACGTCGTTTACACAGAAGCTCTATCATAAACAACTTAGAACTTTGATGATAATGATTTATTTTGTTACCACTTATTGATACAGTAATGATATAAATCGTTTAATATTCTCTTACCTAAACGACAAATTCTTTATGTAAAACCTGTATACGCGAGCTACGCCGCGGGCACAGCTAGTTATAATAATATAGACAATGATATCTGTCCACTAGTCAATATTGCAATATAATGCTTCTTAATAATCAATAAGTCTTAAATTGTACTCCTTTCTTACATGTATTGTGTGTACAAAGTGGGTATTTTACATCATTAGTAATAAATTACTAAATCATATCATTTCAATTCTGAACTTTTAATAGTGGCTTAAAATATGGACCATTTTCCAATTTAAATGAAAAAAGATTTTTGATAATACATGCTTAAAAATAAGCCATGGTAGCTCAGCTGCTTAGCACTTGCTGTAAATTTCACAGTACGCTAGCAACCCGGATTCGATACCCGTCAGCATCAATGAAATTCTTAATTGCAATTTTAAGTGCTGATTTACTACATGCTCGACGGTGAAGGAAAACCTTGTGAGGAAACCGGCATGTCTGAGAAAAAAATATCAAAGACATGTGAAGTTTGCTAACACGTATTGGGACAGCGTGACGGACACTTCCTTATCCTAAAACCTACTCAGAAATGAGAAGCCTGTGCCCAGCAGTGGGACGTATATAGGCTGTAACTTTAACAATTCTTATTTATTCTTTGAAAAGGATACATGAACAGAATCATATCAGATTACCCAAAAGAACCCTCACAGATTGGACTCAAAAGTAAAAACTTACTAAAATAATTTTTTTGTTTCAAAAAAGTTATTTGCCCTATAAGCTGTAAAATAAACCAGCACTATATAAACAACAATTCACAAATATTATACACCAAAAAAGAACACTAACCCTTTTACTGCTGTGTCAATCACTTTGTAAGAAGTATTGCATTTAAAACATGAGCAACTCTTTTTTCCCTATATAAGCCTTACAACTGTACACAGTGAAACAATCACACTAAATTCAACTTTCTAGAATGGTAGCTTGTGTACAGATTCATATGTATTTCAAGCCAACATGAAAAAAACCTTGCATATGAATTCATATGCATTCCAACTCTAAGAGCTGAACCACAAATTGACAATATTTTAAAATCTAATACTTACAACAGACTCTAGCAATAAACACTTGCATAATGTAAAATCAGTATGAGGAAAATTTGTTAATGCTTTCAACAATATTTGGCAAGTTATATCAGGATTAAATTTCTCTGGATTGAACTGGTACAACTTCAAAACTGCCAAGTTTGCCTCTAGATCATATGTGTTCTCCCTTGATTGCATTTCAACATATCTTTCCAAGGTTTGCAAATTTGCTGGGTTATACCTTAAAAGAAACAACATTAATGATAAGATATAACAATAAATCATTAACAATCCTGTAAAATTTTCTTAACTACATTGTTTTCATAATTTACATACTTATTAGTAAAATTAAAAACTGTTACTTCAGTTATAACACTTTCATAATGAAATTAAAAGTTTAAATGGAAAAGTTCACTAACATTGACATCCTTTGAACAAGAACAATATTTAGAAAAGTAATTCAAAAACTCGACTGCATAAAAGGTTTATATTAAAGATAAAAAAATTATTCCATAAGTCACATCTACAACTAAGACAAAACTACCGACATCCCAAATGATAAAATCCTTCAAACTGTTTAGGTTACAGATCATTGTAAAGAAATAAGATATATAAACATAAATACATACACTCGAAAAACATTACCTTTGTTCTGTGGAACTCAGGTAAAAACTAGAATAAAACTCTATTAACCTTAAAACCTTGATATGTTGAACGTAAACTTCTTAAATATCAGACCCATTACAATAACACTCAAATGGGTCTTAATTAATCGATAATACTAAAAAATACAATAAAAATAATCTTTCAGTGCTTTTCACAATTATTGGTGTAACTATTTCTAAAACCTTTCAGAATAGGGTTTTATAAAATAAATGTTTCAAGTATCAGAGGATACTGCAATTGAAAAAGTTTTATCGACATTCAACACTGCATAGAACAAGGTTATAAATATGAAAACCCTTGTGTTAAAAGTAATAAGTAATAAGATTTCAAAGTTACCTTTCAATGCTTTTAAGAATACTCGCAACAGTCTGCTTCATAGTTTCAGCCATCTCTTTAAACAATTTATTTTAGTTGAAGAATATTCTGCAGTATTGATATATTTTTGAGACTATTGTATATATATATTACAGCTGTAGAGCAACTTACGAAAATAAGAAAAAAGAAAATATAAACGCGTGGAATTTTTAGTTTTCAGTTTTCACCACACAGTAGGCATGAGACCGATATATCAAAACGTAACTAATAACGTTATGTTATCAAATATCATATCATATCGATAAACCTAAGAACATAACCGTTATCACATATCCAACCAAAACCCAAAATCAACTAACCAACGTACGAAACGTAAAACGCAAACTGTAACGATATGCCAAAAACCGAAAACGGCCCAAAACCAAAACTAACCGATGTCCTTTGATATTCGTTGTTTCTCGTTCTAGCGACAGTATCATAAATACGTATGAAAGAGATGAAGCGAATATGGATTTCGTTGCGATGTTTTGGTTATCATAAAACGGTGCACGTAGTGAAATATAATTATAAGATCCTTAACAATAAGGTCGAATTTTAAATGGTTAAAATTGCCTAATTTTTTTAAGTTTGTGTAGTTGTGAGAGTTGTAGATTTAAATGATCTTTAGGACATTAGGCACTAGACTTAGATTTGTTTCATCACATTATATTTGGTTTAGGCAACTTTTGTTTATGGGAAAGTTAGAATTCGATTTTTTTTCAAACGTAACAATTACGCACTTGTCATTGGTGGCGTGTGCCGTTCACTATGAATCTATCTGTAAAATTATTAATTTTGACGCTGCGTTTGTGCTATTTAATATTTGTTTGCATTTTGTACGTTTGTTTTAAAACTTTCCTGTCATATATATATATATATATATATATATATATATATATATACCGGCGTATTTCAAAACTTTTCTAGCACGATTTAGTATAAATAATAAATACCCACAATGGCGCCATCTTTTTATAGATTATGTAAAAATATCGGGAAAAATAGTACTTTTACTGTGAGATGGCACTAGTATCAACGTAAACAATTCTGTAAAAATAACAATGTGGAAATCATGTCGTTATATTAGTTATAATAGAACTATAAGGTATACAAAATAACATGTAACACATTTAATTTATTTTATGTATTTATATTATTTATTCTATTTTATTTTATTCAGTGAATATCATTTTATTTTTGTTGTTTTATTAATTTTATTAAAAGCTGTCATCTTAAATTTAAATTTAAATCTAAACATAAATGTATACAAATCACAAAATATAGAACCATATACTGCAATCGTGTGTAAAATATTATGTATTTAGATAAAATGTATTAAGTTACAATTTTACCTCTCTGCTTTGTAAGTGTTATTCAGCATGTTGTGAAACTCTGTTATTGGCTAAGTGTGTTAATATGTATTTTAAGTATGATTGTTAAAAATATGCTGTTGAGTTTCCTAATAAAAAAAAAAAAAAAAAAAAGCAAGTGCTGAGGACTTTCATACCCCTGATTTTAGGTTATGTTTCGGTTGTAAACCATTACTACTGAAATCGATATTTGAAAACGGTTTTCAATAACGATATGAAAACTAAATATCAGTTATGAAACCGTTGCAGCCAAAATCTGAAAACGCCCATGCTTACCACAGAGTAGGAGTGGGCGATACAAATCGTATATAGATACAATATCTATATATCAGTACAATATCCAATATCTATATATCGGACAACAAACCAACTATGTATTAGATATTACGATTTTACGATACCGTGTTGATATAATTCATCGCAGAATATCTAATATCTACTCAAAAACGAAACGTAAAATATCTAAACATATACATTGATTCGGATACCAAACAAACCTTGAGCGCGATAGAATATATAGCTAAAACAGATATTACGACTACTTTACAACGCAAAGGTGATACGCTTACGCCTAATATTTTTAATATTCATCCTTATTAGTAGTAACACGATTTATTACAGAACACATCATTTTCAATATCCAGTCTAAGTAGTATAATTTTATTATTATTTTGTTGTGTTGCACTGTTTTCAAAATAAAATATTTTAGATCTTATTGTGTATTTAATAGAATTAAATGTTATTTTTGGTATGTCAATTAAAAATGAGAAAATTATGACGGAAAGTTTATTTCACCGATTCTGAAAAACTATACCCGCTTTCTAGATATGGGATAATTTCCTTTGGCCTAGGGAATAACCACTAACCATAACCACAAGCGTGGCATAAAATATAAAAGTTTAATTTTATAGCAAATTAATGTTGCAATCCTTATTTTTAAACATGTAGAGACTAAATTTAAGTGTAATATTAAAATAATATATTCTTTAAGAGTCATCATCATCATCATCATTACAGCCTTTCATAAGTCCACTGCTGAACATAGGCCTCCCCCAAGGAATGCCACAAAGCACGGTCCTGAGCCACCTGCATCCATCGACTTCCTGGATGTCTTACCAGGTCGTCACTCCATCTCGTGGAAGGTCGTCCTACACTTCGCCTACCGGTACGAGGCTGCCACTCAAGAACCTTTCTTCCCCATCGGTTGTCGGTTCTTCGAGCTATATGGCCGGCCCACTGCCATTTCAGCTTACTAATCCGTTGGGCTATGTAAGTTACTCTGGTTCTACTGCGGATATACTCATTTCTAAGTTTATCACGCAGAGAAACCCCGAGCATAGCCCTCTCCATAGCTCGCTGAGCGACATTGAGCTTCCTCCTACGGTCAGCAGTGAAGGACCAGGTCTGAGATCTGTAAGTCATCACTGGCAACACGCACTGGTTGTACAATTTCGTTTTAAGGTTTTGAGGTTTGTCTGACGAGATGTGTCGTAGTTTCCCCAACGCTGCCCAGCCGAGTTGAATCCGTCGATTGACCTCTCGGTCGAAGTTGGACTTACCTAGTCGGACTATTTGTCCCAGGTAAACATACTCAACGCGTTAAGTACTTGACTCAATCGTCAACAACTTGGAGCTTAGTGCTCCCAACAACTACCGGCATAGGTGTAACATGGACATTAAACATGATCTTTGTTTTGTCCATGTTCATCCTAAGACCTATTCGTTAGGAGACACTATTAAGGTCATTGAGCATGGTGCTTAGCTCCTCCAGCGATTCTGCCATACGGACTATATCGTCGGCAAATCGAAGGTGAGTGATGTACTCGCCATTGATGTTAATACCGTATCCTTTCCAGTCCAGAAGCTTGAAAACGTCTTCCAATGCAGCGGTGAAGAGTTTCGGGGATATAACATCACCCTGTCTTACACCTCTCTGCAATTGGATAGGTTTTGTACTCTGGTTCTGTACTCGGATAGCCATCGTAGCTCTACTGTACAAACACTTCAGCACTTCGATATACCGACAGTCAACTTGGCACCGCTGAAGGGACTGCAGCACCGCCCAAATTTCGACGGAATCAAAGGCTTTCTCATAATCCATATAGGCCAGATATAGTAGCAAATTGTACTCCTCGGACTTCTGTACAATTTGCCGAAGGGTATGTATGTGGTCTATGGTGCTAAAGTCCTTTCGGAAACCGGCTTGTTCGGGAGGCTGGAAGTCGTCAATTATGCGCGCGAGACGATTCGTAATTACTCTCGAAAACAGTACGTAGACGCGGCTCAGACGGGAAATCGGTCTGTAGTTCTTCAAGAGAGCGTTGTCACCTTTCTTGAAGAACAAGACCACCGCACTTCTGCTCCACGCCTCCGGTGTAAGGCCACCATGGAGGACGGAATTAAAGAGCTTCTGAAGGACTTCAAATACGGTCTTCCACCCGCTTTCAGAAGCTCCGCTGTAATTCCATCCTCGCCTGGGGCCTTGCCGTTTTTAAGATGCTGGAGAGCCATTCTAATCTCGCTCAGACTGATGTCCGGGATATCTTCGGAATAGTGTCGGATAAGACTCGCTCTTGGATCGTTACTCACACTTGCATGTGGCTCCAACGATGACGTGTACAGCTGCCCATAGAACCTCTCAATCTCACTCAAAATCTCAGGTGCCCCGGAAACGATGCTGCCACATTCGGTCTTCAGCTTTGACAGTTGGGTCTTTCTGGCAGACAGATCTCTGGCAAAGACTTTGAAGCCTTGGTTCCACTCGATCGCTTCTTCAATACAAGATGTGTTGAAGTTGCGTAAGTCCCGCCGCATGCATTTGGAAATCTGTCTGTTCAGTTTCCTGTATGCTGTCAAATCTGTTGAAGAATGTAGCTTCATCTCCCGTCTAACAGCCATGAGATTGAGAGTGTGATCGGAGAGTTTTTGTGTCCGTCTGCGGCGGGTCTTGCAGAACTTAGCTCCGACCGCATGGACAGTTTCCACGAGCTTGTCATTCATTACGTCCACTTCATTGCAGTCTTCTAGGCACTGAAAACGGTTTTGTAACTCGAGCTGAAGGGTTTCGGGACTTTGGAACAGAGTACGAGGGGGATGCAGCGTTGACTTCATTAGACGAGACCTCTCCAACTTAACGTTTAGGTTCAGTGTGCGTCTAAACATTCGGTGATCGCTACCAGTTTTCACCCTCGCAATCACTGAGACATCACTGAACAGTTGTCGTCTGGTCGTCATAATGAAGTCAATCTCATTTTTTGTGGAACCGTCGGGGCTTCTTTAAGAGTAAAGGTGTAAAAATACTTTGTAATAGTGTCACCTATTAGATTCTATACGTAAAGTGATTTTATCCACCAAAAATAGATAAAATATCGGATTTTCATATCAAATACATAGGTACGATTTCATAAAGGGTAAAAGTGATATTACTATGCCTACCACAGAATACAGTACACTATGTATCTTAGGAGTGAGGCGTATATAAATACAGACTAAAAAACCAGATATATAACATATTAATAAATAGGTATCTTAAAATAGCAGACTGTAACTGTGACAAACAAACTGAAAGAACAGCTCCTGTTCAACGAGATAACACATCAGTTACCTTTGTCAAAATAAGATAAAAAAAATGTTACTGTGACACCCTATTACTCGTCGCAAACAGTGGCGTAGCTACAGTAGGGCTTGGCGGGGCAGTGCCCTGGGCCCCCAAGCTCAAAGGGCCCTTTTATTTTTTACTAGCTTCCGCCCGCAACTTCGATTCGATCGCCTGGTATGAACCAACATTGAAAATTATAACACGAGATTCTTTTATCGGGAAAAAAGTATCCTATGTCTTACCCAAGTACAAGATTTATCCGTGTGCAAAAGGAGATGAACTTTGTTCCATACAAGCTTGGGCCCGGCGTGAACATAGTTCAAATATATCTTATTTTGAAGATATAATTATTTATTACTTATAACAATAAATCATATTTTTGAGGGCCCGGGGTTTTGTTTTTATTTTGCTTTAATATTTGTAGGTTATGTAGTAAAATCACTCGTTCTTGGGATAAGTTGTTTCAATAAATTGAAAAGAACACAAAAGGATGCCGTTTTTAACTATTATTATTAAATAAAATAAAATACAAGTCATACTTTTCTAATTGTTTAATTATTTTCTGCAATTATTAATAAAATGTCATCCAGAAAAGCAGCCTGAGGCTGTACATTTACGTACAGTTCTATTCGTCTCAAAACCCAAGTAACACATTATTGTCATTATGTGGGCGCAACTACCTACTGTCCTGTAAATCGAGAGAAAAGCCAATGGTCCAGTTAAATTAATTCACGAAAATAAAAACCCGAAATATATCCACAAACACAACCACAATGCCAAATGCGTATCAAACTTTATAATTTGTGATGCGTATGACAAGTTTAGCACAAACTATATAGTATATACACGGCATGGAATCTTAGGAGTTAGAACAAAAAAATTAGCCCTTATTTTCAACCATAGATAAACGGTAGTTTAGAATATGACATTTCTTATTACCACAGACTAAGTTTCAATGCCTTGTTCTTTCATTTTCAATTTTGAATTTTCATTACAGTTCCTGTATAGGACAATTATTATACTCTTTGCATTACAGTTTTGGATAGCTTGCTACATATATATTTATCTATGGTTTTGGATTTGATCCATGATCTTGTACATACAACTTTATAATTTGTGATTTGATCGAGTGAAGTTACGTTGAAGTGTTAAACTCCGTGCTTATCCTCTCACGTTCAAAATTGTGATACAAGTGTACCCTTCATCATGAAGAATACTTGTTGTGTTCCGCATTGTGAAAGTAAGCGTCGTAATTTTAAATTACATTGTTTTCCAAAGACTGAGATAGGACTCAAGTGGGTGGAAAAAATAAATTGTGAAAAATTAAAGCAGCTCAGTGCAGAAGAACTACATAAGTTTTTTGTGTGTCACAAGCATTTCGAGGCGAGATTTGTTACCGGCAGTTTGCGTCTTCGCCATTTTGCTTATCCCACCTTATTTACGGCTGACGAAATAAATACTGGAATACCTGCTCTGGAAATGGAAAACTATGGTAATCTACTTATTTTCCTATTAGGGATGCCTTCTTTGATCTTGTATTTTTAGTATAATTCTGCATAACTCTTCATAACAAAGCTCTTGCAGAATAATCGGCCAATATCACTGAAATAATTGTCAATCCTAATTTAAATTTTGTTATCTAACTAAAATCCATTATAGCTAAACTGTTATATTAGTTATTATTACATTTAAGTCTACAACTGCCATTTTATAATGAAATCATGTATTTAGGATCGTGGTTGCATTGTTCACTTAGATAGGGAAAACATATTAATGAATTAACTAAAACATTGTATAAATTATTAACACTCTTAAAACTTCATTTCTATAATAAGACCTTTTTATTGATTTTACAACTTTTAGCCTTACTGGTAATATGTCATCGAAAAACAGTTCCTACAATGCATCTCTAAATGTGAGATATTAACTTAATTTATATTCCTGATGTTTCAAGTACTTTACAGCAGCACCCATGGTTACCTCCAGATTAAAAATTATTAAAAGTTTTTACCATCATTTTTCTTACAAGATCAAGATGCTCCTGCGTCTTGCAGAGTGACATTGCACTTAAGAAGAAGTGTACAAGCTTGATTTGTGAATGTGGTCTCTCTTATATAGGACAAGCTAAAAGATCAATAAAAACCCACATTAAAGAACACATAGCTGATGTTAAGAATCCACGCTCTGGGAAGTCTGCAGTCTGTGAACTCATGCAGGATCGCCCCCATCACTACATTAGATTTGATGACCACAAATCCTCTCTATAGAACACCGATTCCTTCCAAGGATGATTTGCAAGGCTATTGAAATCAAAATCCTCAGGACAATACACGGTTTTGTGTCTTTGTTAGGCTGTAACGAATGCATGAATTTATCTCTAATGGTTTGTTTTATTCAAATCCTTTTTATTTCAGAAAACCAAAATGTTTTTTATGATCATGATTATACACAAGCACGAAAAAGACACCATGAAGATCATTCCTACTTCAAAACACAACCTTTGAAATCACAAGGTACTTTTTTCTATCTTTTCTTTACACTCAGCAGAATAGTTGTGCATTAATGCATTTTAATGGTTTAGGGGAAAGAGATCATTATTAAACCTAGAATAATGATGTAAACTGTTAATATTTAAGATAACAATTATTTAAATATAATTTAAAAATTTAAAGCCATCATTAAGATGATAGCAACTTCTGCTGTCCTATTATTACATTAACTTTGTTGACATCACAATGATAGTCACTTTGTTGTTCATTGTGTCATTTATTTCACAAGCTATAGTGGTAGCTCTTAAAAAATGCTATATAGTATACCACTCAAAGTGACTATCATTTTGATAGCATAAATTTTAAGGATTTTGCCTGCTGTTCACCGTTAACTATGAAAAAAATATTTGTTTCCAGATTACAATGAACCACCATCCATCTATAAACATTTTAAAATGACAGAAAAAATAGCAGTGTGTCTACATCATGACAAAGCTGGTAAATATAATTGTAAAAATCATAAAAATCTTCATAAATTCTTCTAAAAATACAGTAATAATTTTTTAAAGAAATTAGGCAAAATTCAATTGTCATGCTTTAAGTTTATACTTTAAGTTTAAATTATTTTTATGTTTTAGCCAATATGCCATCTACTAGTAAGGACTTTGAAAAAACTGCTTGTGACCAAAACAATCAACAACCGACAATACCAGGTAACTCAACTGTTTATTTATATATTTTTTTAAATATAATTCTAAGCCAGCTCTTAACTACAATCCCACCTGATGGTAAGTGGTGATGTTGTAGCCTAAGATGGTGAAGCACACTGACTTAACAAAAGCTTATTCACTCTTGCCTTGAAGACACCCAGATTGTAATCAAATGGAAAAACAGATGCTGGCTACTTATTCCACTCCTTTGCTGTACGCATGAAGAATGATGTGTAGCACACTTTCCGATATGCATGCTGTAGAAAACCGTAAGGCTGGCTACTTTGCGCCTGTGTTCGAGGCTAGCTAGATTTGTTTTAACCAAATTCGTGTCACCAATAAGCTTCTTAGCATGCCTTTCGATTGAGTCCAAAGCCACTAGGTGGCATTTTGCAGCACCAGCCCATATATGGCAGCAATACTCCATGCACAACCAGACTGCGCTTTAGTAGACTGTCCCAGCTTGAAGTATCGCCGCACCTTTACAAGGACTCTTAGCTTCCTTGCAGCTGCTTTGGCCTCGGACTCAATGAACCGCCAGAAGTTCAGATTTGAGAATATCTCAACTCCCAACAACTGAAGGCAGTCGGTGTATTCCAGTAATACATTTTGGAAAGAAGAAACCAAGGTGAGCTGGCTCCTTTTTGCAGTGAAGAGACACGCTTGTGTTTTGGAGGGGTTGAATTTCACAATATTGGCATTTCACCATATGGAGACTGCATGTAGTGTGAGATTCACAACTTTTTATATTGTACTGGCTGTTCCCCTGTCCAAGTTTTTTTTTTTTTTTTTTATAGGAGAGGGGGCAAACGAGCATGCGGCTCACCTGATGGTAAGTGACTACCGCCGCCCATGAACAACTGCAACACCAGGGGAATCGCAGATGCGTTGCCGGCCTTTTAAAAAGGAGTACGCTCTTTTCTTGAAGGTCCCTAAGTCGTATCGGTCCGGAAAAATCGCTGATGGTAATCGATTCCACAAGGAGGTCGTGCGGGGAAGAAAACATCTTCTAAATCGCACAGTGGTGGACCGCCAATCATCCAGATGGTGTGGATGGTATCGGGAGTTCTGCCGCGATGTGCGTTCGTGAAATTTGGCGGCTGGGATTAATCCGAACAATTCCTCAGAGCACTCCCCATGGTAGATGCGAAAGAAAATGCAAAGGGATGCAACATCTCTTCGCAGTGCCAATGAATCGAGCCGATCGGAAAGGGCTCGGTCGTCGACAATTCGAGCCGCTCTGCGTTGGATGCGGTCAAGTGGAAGGAGCTGGCACTGGGGAGCCCCTGCCCAGAGATGGGAACAGTATTCCATGTGAGGCCGAACTTGCGCCTTGTAAAGTAGCAGGCGGTGTGCCGGCATGAAATACTGTCCCGCTCTGCTGAGCACGCCAAGCTTTTTAGAGGCCAATTGGGCCTTCCCTTCCAAGTGACCACGAAACTGCACGTCATTCGATATGTCGACTCCGAGGATACCGATACTGGCTGAGGCAAGAAGGGGAGTGCCTTGAAACTGAGGAGATACGACAAAGGGGTTCTTTTTAGCGGTAAACGCGCAAACTTGTGTCTTCTGAGGATTAAATTGGACTAGATTTAGTCGCCCCCAATCCGAGACTTTGTTCAGCAAAGACTCAACTTCAGACACAAGTTTGTTCCGGTACTCAGCGACGTTTTCCCGAGAAATATTGCCACGGCCGGTGTATAGAGCATCACCAGTGCTGTCATCCGCATAGCAATGAATGTTACCAGTTAGCAACATATCATTGATATGCAGAAGAAACAGCGTTGGTGATAGCACACAGCCTTGTGGAACACCAGCGTTAATAGGCTTGTAGTCAGAGCATGCACCGTCTACAACGACCTTGATGCTCCGATCTACAAGGAAGCTGGTGATCCAATTGCACAATTTCTCGGGAAGCCCATAGGAAGGGAGCTTCGAAAGAAGCGCTTTGTGCCAAACCCGATCGAAGGCCTTCGCAATGTCCAGACTAACGGCCAACGCCTCCCCCTTGGACTCTACTGCCTCCGCCCATCTATGGGTCAGGTAGACCAGAAGATCACCAGCTGATCGACCCCGACGAAAACCGTATTGGCGGTCACTAATCAGCTGGTGATCCTCAAGGTACCGGATGAGCTGGCAGTTAATAATGGATTCCATTATTTTGGAGAACAAGGAGGTGATCGCGATAGGCCTATAGCTGGATGGGTCTGAGCGGTCGCCTTTTTTAGGGATCGGGTGGACAAAAGCTGTCTTCCATGAATTCGGGACTACGCCTTGGGAGTAGGAGTACCAGAAAAGACGCGTTAGGACCGGTGCCAACTCCGGAGCACACGTCCTCAGCACAATTGGGGGGATTCCGTCAGGCCCACTCGACTTCTGGATGTCCAGGGAGAGCAGTGCTTTGCGAACCGAGCGCTGTGAGAACAGCACATCCGGCATGGAGCACTCACACCGCGGGATGGTCGGCGGTGTTTTCCCCCCGTCATCAAGAGTCGAGTTGGACGCAAAAAGGGAGCCTAAAAGGTCGGCTTTGTCTTTTGCGTCATGGGCCAGTGAGTCATCCTCCCTGTGCAGAGATGGTAGTGATGGCTTACAGAAATTCCCTTGGACAGCCGAGAGACCAGAATGCACGGGTTCCCGAAGGAAGGCGAACTAGTTTCTCGCCAATTCTGCCTATGTGCTCTGACTTTGCCTTGGCAATAACTCTTTTGAAGGACCTGGAGGCGAAGTTATACTTCTTTTTAAGTGTGCTGGTATTTACATCCCGAGTCGCCGAAGCCGCAGCCCAGGCTTGATAACACTCCTGCTTACTGCGTAATGCAGTCTTACAGGAGCGACCAAACCAAGGCTGAGATCTGCCTCCGATGGGTACCACAGATGATGGAATAAATAGTTCCATTCCCTGTAGCACCACATCAGTGACAGAGTCAGCAACAGCGCTGGGATCATCCGGCGAGAAGCAAACCCGCCCCCATGGGTAGGATGCAAAGAAGGACCGCATTCCGTCCCAATCCGCCGACCTGTAATGCCAAACACGGCGGCAACCTGCAGAACGCAACCGCGAAGGGAGCGTGAGTGGCACCACACTCCGGATCAGCCAATGGTCCGAAGAGCCGAGAGGGGCATCGACGGAAACCAGATATCCGTCCGGATGAGAGGTCAGCAGAAGGTCCAACAGGGAAGGTGTATGATCCTCCACATCTGGAATCCGCGTAGGCGAAGTAACCAGTTGTGTCAGACCATATGCCAAGGCAAAGTCATAAACAGATCTCCCCGCATGATCGGTTAGACGTGAACCGAGCCATTCGGCATGGTGGGCGTTAAAATCGCCAAGGATCACGATCTCTGCGGATGGGACCTGTTGTAGCAAGAAATCTGTAGCCATTTGGACGTGGTCGATGAGTCGGTCTGTTTCGGCATTACCGCTATGGGACCTATAGAGGCACCCGTAGACGCGCGGATGGTCGTCGCTGTCTACGCGTAGCCAAAGGATGGACAGGTCCGAACCTTCAAGACTGCCAAGGCGTCGAGAACAGATGTCCTCTCTGACATACACGCAAACTCCAGCCCGAGGCACAAAGGAATGCTCCAATTTGTACCCCGGGTAGGAGAGATACGAAATATCAGCCGGAGAGGAAACCTGCGTCTCGGTCAGAAAGAGCAAGGCCGGCTTCGCCGTCTCGAGATGGTAGTGGACGGCGTTTAGGTTAGAGTGAAGTCCCCTGATGTTGCAGAAATTCACGGATAGCGTGGCAGGGGTCGCCTTGGTGTTCTTGCTCAGTTTGCCCCTAGCAGTAATGCTTTTGAGCGGAATTTTGCCCCCCCCCAGAATACGCGGGGCAGCCTGAGCTCCCACGCTCAGGATCGGAATAACATGGTCGTGGATGCTCAGCGAGGGATACTCCAGGGGTGCTGGTACCCTCCTGGGGTAGTTCTTCGTGTAATTCCGCTACCATGTTGATGGGGGGGGGGGGGGGAATTGGGCCTCCGGCCACCTGCACTCACCAGACGAAACGCAGAAGCAAAGCTTCTACTTCAAGCCGGTATTCTGTGAGGTCGTGGTACCAACCCGGCTCGAGCCGGCCCATACATGCAACAGCAAAAACTGCTGCGTGGCTCTACCACGTTTAAAAGTTGCTCCTTATGACATCAACTATGTACCGGTGATAGTCTCGTCAAAATTGTTTCAGCCATTTTGGAGATTAGCCGGAACAAACAGACAGACAAAAATTTTTAAAATTGTATTTTTGTTATTAGTACTGTATATACTTTCATATGCATTTAGTAAAAAGCTGTAATTTTTACATTACAAACAGACACTTCAATTTTATTTATTTGTATATATTAATGTCATATTTTATAGATTGTTATTATTGAAATTTTAAGTAGTAAATTTTATGTTGTGCAGATTTGCCGCAATTTAGTAATGTGGTGACATCTAAAAAGTGCATCCGGAAGAATACTACAAGGAATAAAAAAATTTCACCATCATATTTGAGAATATTGAATGAGTTAAAAAAAGCTAAAAAACAGTTAAGCTTTGCTAAAAGGGCTATGAAGTTTTCTAAAAAGGAAAACTTTGAAAAATTGACTTGTAACTTGAAACCCCTTGCGAAAAAAATTATATGGATGCAAATAATGCAAAGTGGAAAACATTCAAAAGGGTGGAGATTCTCTGATGAGGAAAAAATGATTGCACTTGCTATAATGAAACAAAGCCCAAAAAGCTACAGATTTTTACGAAGAATATTCATTCTTCCCTCCATAAGGACAATTAATAAATTAATTAATAAGTTGAAAATGGATTCGAGAATAAATCCTCATATATTCAAAGCGATTAAAACTGAGGTATACTGTTTCCTTAAACACTCATTTTTGTCTTAAATATATTATTATGTTAAGTTAATTACCTAATGTTTTTTATTCCTAGGTTGCAAATTGGCAAGAATCGAAAAATATTGCTCGCTAATATTTGATGAAGTTTCGATAGAGCCAGGTCTTACATATGACAAATACAATGACAATATCTGTGGGCTTGTAGAGTTACTGTCAAAAACCTGTGACTATGCTGACCATGCCTTAGTGTTCCTCATTCGAGGCGCTGTACACAAATGGCAACAGCCTATTGCCTTTTATTTTTGTAAAGGAACTACACCTGCACTTATATTAAAAAATATAATAGAGCAAGTGACAGAAGAAATAATAAAAACTGGATTAATTCCTGTGGCTTTGATATCAGACCAGGGAACTTCATTCCAGTCAGCTATTAATAAGTTGAAGGAAGATACAAGAAAAAAACAAATATTGGCAAAGGAAAATACTGGTAAGATAATTGAATGAAAGGTTTAAAGCCACAAATAAAAGTTCTTAATAAGGTGCTAAAATTATCAGTAATGCATTTTTATACTTTTAATTGCCTATTAACCAAATTTTTGTTTTCATTTCAGACGACATAATCATAATAAGAGGTCAGAAGATTAATGTGATATTTGATCCTCCGCACCTCATTAAAGGACTAAGAAACAATTTTCTTGACAAAAATATATTATTGAATGGGAAAACATCAAAATGGAATGACATTGTAGATGTTCATTTAACAGACTGCAAACATGCAGAAATGCATTTGCTGCATAAGTTAAATGATGAACATGTCATTCCTCAGAAAATAAAAAAAATGAAGGTAAGCCTACCAATATAAGAAAATAAATTAACATTAACAATTTTATACCTTTCAGTGTAAATTAAAATGTTGATCTATTACTATTTTATGTAAATACAGCTTTACAGTTTTGGAATAAAGCCAAAATAATTAATATTAACATTTGGTCTTTCAGGTGAAAAACTGCAGTCGTCAATAGCAAGACTGTTGCAGGAGCCTTGGCATACACATCACAATTTTGTAAGTTTGTTGATCTAAATATTATTATTTTATTCTAATTTATATTTGACCTAAAATAAGGGGGAATCTATCAAACTTTTCACCAAATTCCAACATCACCTGCATGAAGTGACCTGCTTACGAAATAAATAGTGGTTTAGCAACGCACTACTGTAGGTAATTCATTTACATTAGCAGAACCGAAAATATCACAACTTGATGATGGAGAGTGTATTGCGGCTTTTGGCTCATTCTAATATCCTATTATCATCGTCATTATAGCCTCATTATAAGTCCACTGCTGAACATAGGCCTTACACGAGGAATGCCGTCATACACAGACACATGGGGGAGCCATGTGCACCCATCATTTTCCTGTATGTTTTAAGGCCCCGGCCCCCCACTAAGGTTAACACCTTAGTGGGGGGCCGTCTTACGATTTGCTTACTGGTATGCGGCTACTACTGGAGAACCTTTTGAATTCACTGATATATGAAGTTCTAAATTTAGCAGAGGATATAGATGTAGAAAGTTGCTATTTGTTTATTTTACTTTTTTATACTTTTTTTGCATACAATATTATATTACATAAACACTGACAACAAACTATATACAAAATGTAGAATTAGCCGGCCTTAATACTGAACAGTGATCTGTTCCAGGCAGAACTATTTAAGAGAAAGAGATTATTTTTATTAAAACATATAAAGGTGCATGAATACATATAAGCTGTATTATGTAGAATATAAAAATAAAGATAACAATTTTTGCAGTGACTTAGGATTTCTATGACTAACATCATATTTATTTTTATTTTACAGCCCACTATGCTGATGGCAAAGCTGTAAGCTCAACATTAAAAAATACTTCAGAAGTTGTGTCATTTTTCGATGATTTATTTGATTCGTGTAATGGGGCAGCACTTACACGGAAAAACAAAGGGAAGCCCTTAAGGCAAGCTGTAACGAACTCATCGGACCACGAAATTTTTTGGAAAAATTCCATAAAAAAATTAGAAGAAATGAGATTTATCAATAAAGAGGGCAAAGAGTGTATTGTGCCCTCTCAAAAAAATTATGTTGTGACATTAAAAAGTTTAACTAGATTGTGGCGCTTCTTTAAAGAAAAGGGTTTAAAAATTATGCGCCCAAGGTACTTCAATTCTGACCCAATTGAAAACTTTTTTGGACAAATGCGGGCATATAGTTTTAGAAGCAATGACCCAAATTGTCAAGCATTTAAAAATATATTTCGCTCCTTGTTAGTTACCAGATTCATTAATTTTCATTCAGAAAATTATAATTGTGAGGAGACTTCGGGAGAACAAATAATACAATTAAAAAAATTATTAGAGGCACCACAAGTTTGTGAAACCCAGACGCCTCTGTCAAGTTCTAATGTAATAATCTCTCCCGAAGACATGAAAAATATTCAAGTAGAAGCTCGAAAAGAAAGACTCAGTGTACACTCTCGTGCATATACTGCGGGATGGGTTGTGAAAAAATGTTTAAAAATAATTAAATTATGTATATGGAACTGGTGTAACATAGTGAATAAAATTTTAAAAGGGTTTGATATTGTCAGATTAAAATTACATAAGCAATTGCCGCATATGCAAGATAAAGCTTATAAAAAATTTCAAAAGAAATTAAAAAATAAAAACTTAAATAAGTAAAATAACAGTTGTTTTATTTTTGTATTATATTTTCAAATTTTTGAATGGTGAATAGCTGTGAGGCGAATGAAATAAGGCTTTATCTATAATGTACTTTCGTCTTATAACTAAAAAATTAAAAAGTAACGACAATAGGCTTTATCAATAATGTACTTTTGCCTAATACCTAAAAAATTTGAAAGTAAACAAATGTCAAACTCTTAAACTACTGTGTCCGTATTGGTTGTTCTAAGATTCCCGTCTGATACGTAGTATCCACTAAGTAGTCTGTGACTATATAGAAACACTACGCGAAGTTTAGCTTGCTACATATCGTAGATAGAGGATTGACTAGATAAAGCATTCGCGTATGCTTTTGAGATAGAAATAGGCGGGAGGTACTTTCATTGGGTTACCAGATATTGTTCCATTTCCCCCATTATGGGTTTATTTATATTCACAGCACTTACATTCATACAAAAAACTTAATTGTTACCATAAAAAAAATGTTCTTTTATAATTCAAATGATTAATTAATTTCTCTTGAAAATACATTCTGTGACAAAAACTACTGGTGGAAACGGCGTAAAAACAGAATCATCATTCTGTATTCAACGGCGCATCGACGATTTTACTGGACATTCAATAAACTCTTTGGATTTCGACGGCACTAAGTGAAGGCGCTAATAGCACAAAGTGTGATATCGCTAATAAATAACAATATGTTATGTATGTGCTTAAATATAAATTGAGAATAAATATATTAAATAATAAACAAAAATTTCCTTGTGTCGAGTTTTGTAGTTTTTACAAAAAAAAAAACAATAATGTTTTAACATACCATTCCATCACAAGTTCAGTGCTGAACACAGACCTTCGAAAGGAAAGGGTTTCCACTTAGGTTTTGTGGTACAAAACACGGTTATGAGCCTACTCCCGCGATTTCCTGCATGTTTTGCTAAGTTAGTGTCTTGTGTGCGGCAAGTTGAGGCGTACAAGAGAATTTGTCTGTACACGGGATGATATTACCCCACGTCGTAAGCAATAATACAAGATGGGAATGGGGCAGCAGCACTTTCCCGATGAAAACTTAAAATAATAAAAAACTGCGGTGGCCAACCAACATAGCGCATATTTTCACGCAGGCGTGGCAACTATGGCAAGTTATCCTATGAGGATATCTATGGAAGACCTTTTTTAGGTGACTTACTTATGGTTAGGTGGCTTAATCATGTTACCTAATGGTTAATGTGGTAAAATGTTTTAGTTAATATACGTTGTAAAGTATCAACAAAGGGTTTTTTTTTTGTAATATGTTGGTATATAAAATAAAAACGAATGTTTTATAATATTCTATTTTAATTTAGCATGCAGTGTAAGATTATCTGCTACCTCATATCATTCCATGGGTGGTGTATGAGGCGACATAGGGAAACATCAAAGAAGATAAACAGCAGCATTGTCCTGATAACAGCTAAATAATGGTTGACAACCCGCTTTCCAAGCGTTGAAACTATGCCAAATAACTATAATCATGTTTATGTTTAACAGTGGACTTTGATAGACTGTAAAGATATATATTCTATTTAAATGAAAATATATTGAAATTTAAAAAGGAAAAAGAACTACATTTTGCGTACTTACACAACTTTTAGAAATATTAACAATGTTAAATAAAGTAAAACAAATGAAAACACAATTATATATTAAATATAATTCAATAAAATTAAAATAAACAAACGATTATTTATTAATTTTTCATCACATTAATAAACAACAAATTTAACAACATTTTTGTCTTCTTTCTAGAGCATTCGTTGTAATTCTTGGTTTGAGTAACCCACAAACTAGTAAGAAGTGCTAGCGCAGAGTAGCCTTAGAATTTCTCAAAAATATGCATTTGTAAACTTGATTTATACTTTTGCATGGCAGAAATTCTTGGGTGCTGGTCGTTAGAATCAGATTAGAAGGGAGTGTATATATATATATATATTATTTGCCTTGTATATAATATATTTTAATGGTATAAATAATAAGGTACAACTCCTAAACTATACTTACATAGGTAAAACTTATCTCTTTATTTCTTAATTAATATTATAAATTATTATTTCTTAATTTATTTACACATTAATGTTTATAACACCTTTATAAAAGGGATTAAGGGTGGACTAAATGTCCCATTGGTAGGCATTCCCAGTCAGTTTTACAATTATTATTGCATAATAAATTATTCATTTGTATATTTAGGTCAGGACTTTAAATTACTTATTTATTTATTTTATTTAAACCTTTATTTGCATAAAACATGGTAGTACAAGGTAGTACAGATAAAGTTCCAACATTTGTAAATGAGGATTCATGTTTAATCAATACATCTATAAGTAAATATTTTGTCATTATCATGCCACCCAATTATTACAAGTCATAATAATACAGAATGTCAGCATTTGAAAATAAAATAAGCAATGCTAGTCAATTTTTAATACATACAGAACAATGTCAAAAATCATAACTACCAACAAGGTCAAACTTATATCACTTATGGAGAAACAACAAGATACAACAAGAAATTATAACATTTAAAAAAATTATCTTAATTATATTATAAATTACATAAGTTAAGCATATTTAGTCCACCTAAAACAATGAGGCTTAAAATGTTTTGAGCATACACTGCTAAGTTTTATTGGTTACCTATAAGCACCACCAGTAGCGATTATCCAACTGTTACGGATAGCTGATTCTGTATTATATTTGTATTAATAGCTGAAATTAATATATTAAATATATAGTACACTTTTATATCAAGGTATTTAACAAAAAAAATCAAGAATGTGTATCTGTGCATAAATACAATACCTATAACAATTAAAACAATATCAATTGATTTAATTAAATAGCAATTATATGTAAATGTAATGATAATATTATTCATTATTCACCAAACATTTAAAAAAATTATGTACATATTAAGCTTTAGATATAGTTAATTCATTTACAGCCTAACAAATGTCCTCCACCGCTGAACATAGACCTCCCAGACAGTTTGTCTGCAAATAACTGCAGTTGCCAATTCTCCTGCCAAACTAGGCAACTATCACAAAACCTATAACTTTTGATACTGACTAATGGTAACGGTAAGTATATTATCATCAAATTTTTTCTACATCATTAATTGAGAATATTATCTTATGTTGTTGTGTTATTGTGTACCTTAAGATTAAGTTGTTTATTTATTTATTATTTTATCTACCTATATTTATATTTATTTTTATATTAGCATGACATATTTTTTTAAATAAATATTGTAATGTAATTGTTGCTAATGTATAATAGAATTAATGGACTGCAATAAAGTTTTGTGCATCTGATTTCAGGCAATACATATTTTGTGAAATTAAATATACTTTGCCCAATATTTATCTACTTGAATCCAAACATGTTTTCAGGTTGATACTTACATATTATTTGTGAAGTCTATGTAATATGGAAAATGATTGAAGAGTTGTAGGGCAATAAGGAGTTTCCTTTAAAGCTGAACATAAAAGTGTATGTATATGTATAACATTATGTGATTCATATTTATGGACATAACTACTAATCACAATAACAATTATTATTGAACAATGCGAAAACATTATTGTACTCGCTGATATCCCTAAAGTTTCTATAATCCTACCAAATCAAAAAGTACACGTTTGTTATGACTTTAAGCTTTCGAATGACCGTTCAAATTAAGGAGCATTATCATGAAGAATTTACAATTTGGGAGTCCAAATATTTGACAAAATACATAACAAAGTTCATTAAAAACATGAAATGTTACACTTTATATACAAAACAATAGATATTAATCAGTACAAGTAGCAAATGTAAGCAAAAAACAAACTTACCGATTAAAGGTAATATTATCAATTTTTCGTTGACTGATGCTGTTGCATCCTAAAATGCTACAACTTAACATCTTTTTCACCTTACCTAATAACTAAGATCCACAAAAAACACTAAATTCAATTACCTGTTTGCTTATAATATCAATATTATTCAAAAGAGCTTGACATCGTTAATGTCAAATAAAGGAGGGAAAACAATCAAAAACGCATACCTAGAAAAAGACAAGAAATATAGATTTGCTTCTCCCTTACTCTTATGTCTAACTATATACGTGCATTCCTTTCACACGCTGATGACGTCACTGAATGTTTAGTCTATAAGATACTATGTCTATGCTACATATATATTTATCTATGGTTTAAACTCGAAGTCGAAGTTATCAAGTCTCCTTGGAAACAGGCAATGATCAACGACCATACAGCCTATTCAATCGTGTCCGATATTATTCAAATATTTTGTTTAGTTTAATAACGCAGCTTAATCAATCGAATTTCTAAATATATTTCTTTTATTAAGTATTAATCTCTACAGGTTTGCCTCAATGTTTCAATATTATGAGTTTTTTTGATACTGAAAGATATTTATTAAAAAAAATAGCCTTCATTATCTAATGCCATAGACAAAATACATAAAAATATTTAAAAACTTTTTGTGTTTGCTATGGTAAAAGCATTAGCTTTCGTTTTTCAGTTTTAAAAAATGTTTTTATGATTGTCCCATACATTACAGAAATAAAAACCGTTTAGTTATGCTTATAATTTATGTTTATATTACCTACATATTTTTGTATAACTGTTACGAACGATGTCAAGCACCCAATTTCATACATCTCCATCCATCCAGTAGCTTTCGTGAAAGTGTAACAAACAAACAAACTTTCACATTTATAACATTATTAGGAAGGACGATTAAATATTATCTGCTGCGTCACACATAATACTTAGTAGTAAGTAGATTTGCTTCATGTCTTGCAGTGGACGATAAGGAACTGTAGATAAAGTAGTTTTGCACCTTTAACGTATTAAGTTTAGTTTAAATAGGGCCCTGATCTCATTTTGGCCCCGGGGCTCTTGGTTACATAGCTACTCC